CCTAACCCTTAACCTAACCCTAAACCTAACCCTAACCCTTAACCTAACGCTAAACCTAACGCTAACCCTTAACCTAACGCTAAACGTAACCCTAACGCTCTAAACCTAACCCTAACCCTTAACCTAACCCTAAACCTAACCCTAACCCTTAACCTAACGCTAAACCTAACGCTAACCCTTAACCTAACGCTAAACGTAACCCTAACGCTCTAAACCTAACCCTAACCCTTAACCTAACCCTAACCCTAACCCTTACCTTTATGTGAATCGGCTTGCTTTAATTTAATTTTTATTTCAATTTTTAATTTTTTCCGTCGCGCTGTGATGACGTCATGTACGCGCTTTCGTCGAGCGCGATTTTGTCGTCCGCGGTTTTGTGGTGGAACCGGCCAGCACCTAGCTTCTATCTTCCCTTCCTATGACCATTATTTCTGCCCCAAATAGTTACTCTTTCTCCTTCTGAGTAACTGAATGGCCAAAGGCTGTCCCTCTCAAGCTGGTTATATTGTATCATCACTATGTGATATAGAAGGCATAATTATGACCTTTCCTATAGATAGGAACTATTCCAGTGTCTTACTCTATGCTTGGGAGCAGCAGGAATTTAGAATATTTTCTAATTATGAGATAGTAGCAGAGAAGAAACTATGATTCCAAACAGCACAGTCATTGGCAGTGCATGATGACTACCCCATGGAGTGGAGACAGCCTGAAATTGAGGATTTGTTGTTTTAGGTTAATTATCTGAGATGATACTTTTTATCTAACTTCTTTTTAAAAAAGAGTGGTTGTGTCCTGAAGAATACAACCGATGTGAGTTTTGTAGCTGCAGACTAGAAGCAAGGAAGTGAGGTGGAGAAACTATGTCAGTGGCAGGAAGACATGCACCAACCCCAATAGATTTTTTTAAAAATGCTATTCGCTGTGGGCGATTCATAGAAGAGTTATTTTTATTGTACCATTGGGGCAATGGCTTTTATGTTTTTTAAGTACAAGGACATTTCCTTGAGGAGAAGATGGCAAGGAGCAGATATAACGTATTCAAGAGAAGCAGCAAGAGGGATGTTCCACTGGGTCAGAAATATTTGCAGTGGAGAATGTGCATGTTAATAGCATCTGAGCAGTACAGATTAGTTTTAGAGATATCTCTGACCTTTATTTTGTACAACTCAAGGCAGTGTTCATACCTAATGCTCCTTCCTCCTATTTTCCTCACAATAAGAACTCTATGTTTGAGAGAAAGTGTCTAGCCCAGTTATCCAGCTGCTTTTCATACCTAAGGAAGAGTTACAGAGCATGACCTCCAAGATTCTAGACCAGCACCTTAACCACTACTCCTGATTGGCTCTATGGAAGTTAGGACTCAGGTGCTATATCCCCAGTGTTTCCAATATTCCCAGCTCATGCCATATTGCTTTCACTATAGTGATTAAGAATTAAGGGGGCTGCTTTGTGGTAGTTGTTGACACTTTGTCTTCCCCTACAGGCTGGTGCAGAGATCTCTACAGTGCATCCAGAACAATATGCCAAGCGCTTTCTGGACTTTGTCACCAATATATTTGCTTAGCAGTTTTTTCAGTACGTCGTTGACCCAAATCAAAACCTTTTCAGCACCTTTGTAGTTGTCACTCACCCTGCTCCCTGATTCTCCGTAAGTAGGATAGTTTTCATCCTGCTGTTCTGGGGTCAGCAGGGGAAATGGGCTGACTTCAGATGACTCCCAGTCTTGCAACTGAGGGACGGCTGCCGAACCAAGTGCCTTAACTCTGATCTTCTGCTGAGGTGCGAAATGATCCAGAGTACCAAAGAAACTGGTTCCGAATGCTTCGGAGAGCTGCTTCTCCTTCCATGCAGGAGGAAGAGGAGTGGCTGGTTTTTATCTAAACACTGATTTCTTCCTTTCCGTTAAATAGTACCAGTGTTCCGTCATTTAGAGCAGGATAATGTTGAAATAGAATAATATGCAATACGAAGTTAGTTGTGCCTTGGAAGAAGGGGGTTGAAGGGAATCTTCCCCATTTACACAATCAAATCTTGTATCCTATGATATCCCATTGTACTGCCTGTTTCAAAGCCATGCGCCAGTTGTATACCTTTTCTACCATCCCTATATACACAAATATTTAACAGAAGACTGCACTGTGCTCCATCCTTGTGAATAGTTTTGCTCTGATTCTACTCCTGTTGTCAATAATGGAAATCTCTCATGCTAAAGAAAAGAGCCCAGCACTGAATCCAGTACCCCTTAAGCTCTTTTCCATGTAGAATTGCAGGTTCTTTGAACTTTGTGCCCCACAGGTTGCTATTAATGAGAACAATTATTTCAGGCTCATTGCTCTCATGCATCCTTTTTCTTTCTGTTTTCTAGTTAAGAATAAGAGCTGAAGCAGGGTTTGGGAGGCTCTTTGTACATGCTAAATAAATTTGGAGTAAACTCCTGAGTAATAGCACTATCGTCTGAAATCCGGTTCTACATACTGCAGAGCTTTTTTGAGTATCACTTGTCAGAGGGAGATTGGGAGAAGAACACAATAACTCTAATCTTCGGGGTAACTCTAATCTTTGGGGTAATTTATAGAGGGGTGTCTGTTGGGCACAAAACCCAGATTGAATAGGCGAAACTTACAAAAGGGTCTATAAGGTATGCCTAGACTACCTGTGATTTACCACCATATAATATTAAATTTGAAAGCTACTGAGAAATGCTAAGGATGAAAGTCCTCACCATTTAGGTTGTAAAGCTTTAACATTAAAATTAAAGCAAGCCTCAGATGTTGTGAACTGGCAACAGCATCAATACCATGACCAAGAGGAGCAGGGACTGTTGAGAGTTTAGCAAACCCATAGAGAGCCCTGGCTCCCTATCCAATCATAAACACTTCCGTGTTGAAGTGGAAATCAGACCAAGCCTCATTTATTTTGTTTAGTGTTATAGGGGAGAGTATCATGCCCAACTTCAGGATGCTATGAGAAGCAGCATCTGTCTGCCTGTGCATAATGGCTCTATATGTTTATTTTACATATATCAAATTGGCAAACCAATGTATTTTGGGAAAATGGCCTATCTCAGTGGTTGATTAAAATACCGCTTAAGTGAAGGAGGAAACTGCTATAAATTAGCAGATGCATTAAAAACAATATCCCTTCTCATTCACCAGAATGGGAATTCTTGGAGATACGTCATTTAGCAAAGTGAGGAATGCAGACAAGGAACTGGATAAATTAAATGATCATTATTCATTTATTGTTGGCTTGGTGAAGAGATCTTGCTTTCTCTAGTAGCTGTCCTAGCAGCATGGGGAAGCTGTGATACTCCAGCTGTCTGAACTATAATTCCCAATAACTCCAGCCCTATATAAGCATTTATGAGGTATGCTGGGAGTTACAGTTCAGCAACTTCAAGGGCCAGTATTGCCTACCTGGAAACTCTAGCTATGGTTCAGGGTACAGTGCTACTCAGTTTGCTACTCTGGACCTGAAACGTGTGCTACTTTATGTTTTTTAATATTTTCCCCTTCTGCCCATTACTGGTGTGTTGGGACTGATGTCATTTCAGCTCCCAGCACCCTAAAGGTTGTGCCATGGAGATACATTTATGCTGTGGGGTTGTCTTCCTTCCACCCTCTTTCAGTGTTTTGTAATTGTATACAATGTGTATTTCTGGTTTACTCTTGTATGGCTAAAAATAAATTATTGAACCAAAAGTTGTCTGTATGAAGTGCCCAGCTGTGCTGTTGTATACTGCTAACCTAGCAGGGTAGAAGGATGAACTCTGTGTTTCAGTGAAAGAATAAAAGACTTTCCTTGGCCCTTCACAGCTTTCTGAATTGAAATTATTATGTCAGTTATTTTTATCACATTTCTGAACTTTCAGGGGAAAAAATATATCCAAGCTTCGGGGGTGGTGGTGAGGAATCAAATCAGTTAAGACAAGAACATTACGATTTTGGCCAGATGAACCAGGGTTAATTTGAAACTAAAGTGAAGACATTAAGTCTTGTCTGGCTTGCCCCCTTCACCAGCAGATCATCTTGTTCCAAGTTGGCTTGTTTTATAAAGAAGAAGGCAGCAATTTGGTAGGATTCGTGCTTTTTAATTCTTGTTTAATTATTCAAGTTTCACCATTCCTATAGAAAACTGATCAAGAGCTTATATTCCTGCAAAACTCCATTTGCAGATAAGAGTTCTATCATTAACCGAGACTGCATACAAAAACAATCCTTCCAATCATTTCCTGTCTATTAGTATTATAATAACAGTTGAGTGTCAGACAGTCTCTGCATCTAAAAGGATTAAGATCATCTCAATCCACTGATCTTTTGAGATGTAAAAGATTCCTAAATTGAATAGCTATTATTATTATCTGTGGATAATTTGCAGTTAGTCGGTTAAGACTTAATAATTCAAGTCTCAACCAAGGGCCCAAGAATCATTAGGGTAGCACCTAAGAATCTCTGCAGTTCCAAGCAGATGTAAAAATCAATGTAAAAATTAGGGCGTTCAAGTCTGACAAATTCAATATATCCATATATTGAGGAAGTCCTTTAGTATTGTGCCAAGGGCTCCAATCATGATTGGTGAAAGAATGGATTCTTCGCCACAGGCATTTGATCTAACTTCAGTCTGCAAGCACCAATATTTTATAATTTCTTTCCAACTGTTTTTCCTCAATCCTAGCACCACTTGGTATAGCAATATCAACAAAGCAGACATTCTTCTTTTCGTTAACTTTTCTATCAAGCAGGTTATCAACAAGATGCTTATTTTCGTAATAAGTATTTGTTGCCTGGGATCTTTGCCAAATCACTCTTCCATGGAGCTTTATGAACTTAGAACCTGAATTTGCTTGGAGGTAGGCATGCCTAAATTCCTTGGGATACAATTATAGCTCTTGTTTTTAGATCTTGAATGGTTATTGTAAGCATAAAAATGGTATGATAATTAAGATGGAGCATAATTCCCCTCCCCATCAACTATTTGAATCTTGCTCCAGCCTAGGAGTTGCTACCCAGCTTTGAATAAACTGTTATGGTCCATCCCTCTCTCACATCTTCAATAGGGAAACACTAAACTGATAGTCCATTATGGAAGGAGGAGTCAATTTCAGCCTTGTAAGATTTCTGTTGTATAAAGTGTACCAACTGGAGGGAAAGGGGGGAATGAATAGTGACCTCAATCCAGCTGAATAGTGAGTTTACATCTTTATTACAGATAATAAATTATAATTCTTGCAGTTAAAAGAACAATATAAATGAGTATTTGCAAATTGGAGACTTAGTTCTATTGCCTGCCCATCATCTCTCTGCTTCCTGCTTTATTCGGACTTTAATTATTCCAGTCACCAAGGTCATACAGTTTTGGGGTGTGAGTGTTAAGGCTCCGATCATTTTAGCAACCCGTAAAGCACAAACTCCATGGGACCACAATGCGATCGATTTCTGAGTCGCCCCCCCTCCGCCACAGGTCGGCATCGCTTAGATGTAAAACATGAAAACCTAACCAAACCCCACTGGAACTTCATTGCACTTGACCTACTAAGCCACCCCGCTTCATTTGCTTTCAAGCAAGCGGGGTTGGAAGAAAACCCAAACGGGAACGGCCTAACTCCGGAATAGCCGCTGCTCGAGCCGAGAGGTCCCTGCGGAACCCCAACTTGGATTTTCAACCCGCCACCCTCTCCTATGGCAACCAAAGCAAGAAGAACGCGGGAAAGGAGTGGGGGGGAGGAGGGAACCGCGAGCGGCGCGGTCCTTTGCGCCAAGAGAAAGCCGAAGCCGCCGCCGCTCCTCGCCCGTCGCCTACAGTAGCCCGCGCTCGCTCCTCCGCCATCCCGGCGCGTGGTTGCTATGGCTATGCCCGTCATGCCAGCAACAAGCGGCGCCACGTGACGCGCCCGGCGATGGCTGCTGCCGCTGCTGCCGCCGCTGCTTGGCAGGGAGGGAGACCTTGAGCAGAGCGGCGGCACCGGCACGCGTTCCCGGACGCGCCATAGGTCGCCTCGTCGGACCCCGTTTGCTCAAGCCTCGGCGCCCTCGTTGCCTCCCTCGCCTACCCCCGTCCCGTCTTCCACCACCACCCTTTATTGTTTGTTTGCTCCCAACGCCGTCGTCTTCGCACGCAGCAGCTGCAGCTTCGATGGACGGACCGTTCCTGCCACCCTTGGATGTTCCGCTATGGTGGGTGCCGTGCTGGGGAGCGCCGGTTGCAAAATGAGGGGTGCTTTTACCACCACCACCACCCAAAAAAGTCTGGGAGCCTGAGGAGGCGGAGAGTTGGGGGGGGGGAATGGGGCGCGAGCAAAAAGAGGGTGGTGGGCTTTGCTCCCGCGCGCTTTCTGGCTCGGTTGGCCAGATGGCTCTCCTTTTCATTTTGGGTTTTTTGTTTTTTTTAAAGGGGGACCATCATCATCATCATCATCCTAATGTGGCGCATTGATCAGAGGCCATCTGCATATTCAGGCAACCGCCAGGGCAGCTGCAGCAGTCAGTCCCTTCTTTGTGTGTTGTCAGCTGGCTTTGCAGCAGGGGTGTTGCCTAAAGGATGGTTTATGTGTTAATGGAGAGGGGGGGGCATGATGGCTTGTTTTAGTGGGGGAGGACTTTTAGGGGAAATGCGTGCACAGACACCATACACCATACAAACGGGTATTTTAGGTAACGATTTACCCACAGATGTCTACGGATCTACCTGTCAAGCCTCCTAAAACCGTGCAGGGGGAGCTGGCAGGGGAGCAAAGGTTGCTCCCCCCCCCCTCTTTCAGGAGGGCAGAGGGATTATTTTTTGCAGCATTGTTGGTCAAGCAAGCATGAACTTAAGTGCCCACCTTTTCTCTCCTTGTATTAAGGGATGGGAGAAAATGTTCACCCTCCACTGCTGTGCATCGTATGAGGCTCTTGAAGGTGGTGGAGAAGTCGTAGAAAATGGGGGTTGGGGTTTTGGCAGGTATCTCTGGGATGTGTGGGAGATGAGGAAAATATAGATGTGACTGGGATCAGGAGGTGGCAAAGAAATTGACAGCTTTTTCGCCCCCCCCCCCCGAGGGGCCCTTTTTCCTCAAGCCATTGTTTCTCATCCCAAGCCCCCTCCTTCTCTCTTTGTTCCACATCTCTCCTTGTGACTCCAAGGCTATTGGGCCTAGGCTTTCATTGCTGCTATTGAATAGCTTTGTAAAAATCTGGCAGGTTTGTTGGTGGTTGATGGTCTCTGAGCTTGGCTTTCATTTTGTAGATGTTACATTGCTATACCGTGTAATCTTTTTGGGCATTGAATGCAGTTAAAAAGTTACTGAAATGCCTGTAAAATGACAGCCAAGCTTAGAGACTACCAATGTTCAACCTGGACATGCATGCATGCATTCATACATACATACATACAAACACACAAACACACATACATATATTCATATTCTCTTCTATTGTAACTAGCAGCTTTTCTCCCCAAATTGAAGGGTTGGGGGGGATAGTTTTTAAAAAAAAGAATTAACATCTATCCCAATCGCAAATAGTCCACCTATCAATGTTTTTTCTACCTCCCTACAACTATTGCATTAATTCCCAACTATACAATAACAGGTTCTGTGCCATGCAAAAGCTTGCCTGCCTTCTCTCTTTCAGGGATGCGATCTGAAATATATTTTTCATCATCATTATTATTATTGTTGTTGTTGTGGTGGTGGTGGTGGTGGTGGTGGTGAGATTCCTTGAATTGTAAAGGCCTGGTGTTGCCCAAGGTCACATTGTTCTTTTAGTTAAGGGTCCAATAGCGAACAGAGCTTAATGATGATAAGAGTAGAGGTCAACTAGCCAGGGTAAAGCAAAGAGATGCATTGCTGAATTTTCCTTTTCTTCCTTGACAAAACAGAGATTGCATTTCCAAGCTGAGGACTTTCTCACTGACTGGGCGGTGTTTGTTATGTCTGAAAGGCTGTAATGTGCTCACAAAGGGAACTGAATTTTGGAGAGTTAGCACCTCGCCCTCCCCTCCCCTCCATCTTGATGATTTGAGGAAATACTGTAGACAGGAATTAGGTTTGCGGTTGGAGTTGAGGTTGCATTTGTTGTGTAGAGATGCATGCCTTTTGTAGCTGAGCAGAAGCTATATGTTTGGCCACTGTCAAATTCTCTTGGGGTAGAGTTGAACTGGGAAGGCGGAGGGCTTTAGAAACAGGGTTGTTACAACTGGATTCATTGCCAAATGCAGGTGACCATGTAGGCTGCTTTATTTTTAAAGAATCATTCCCATCCAAATGACTGACGGCTGATTTGTCTACAAGTGGACACTGCATTGTTCCAGGGCACAGGCAATTTTATACCCTTCAAGTGTTTGGTTGCAAATATCACAGACCCAGGATTTGTAGTATAGGGCACCTGTACTACAGCACCAAAGAAGAATTGTTTGATCTCTAGTGAAAGCTTTATATAGAGATAACGCAGCTGGCAAACCATGTTTTGTCACCTACTCTGTTGCCTGCCCCTGTTCCCACTATCCAGTAGCAACAACAAGGGATTTTCCAGGACAAGAAAACAATGCAGTGGCTGCCCTCTCAGTACATGACAAGGTGAGGAATTCTGTCTAGGAGAGTTAGGACTTAGTCTAGCTCCAAAATGGAAGACAATCCAGCTGCTTTTGAGTCAAAGATCTGCTGTATAAATGTTTGCATTTCTTGAGCAATTCGTAAAATAGATTAAGCTATGTCTTTTTCTATATACAAAGTTGTTTGCACAGAACTAACTCTGGAAGTACCCGTTCTCTTGCGGCAAATGAAATGGTTTTCCATCAAAAAAAGCTTTTGCTAAACTGGAAGA